TGTGTGTGTGTGTCTGTATATGTTGTGTGTACAATTGCAAGTGTCTACAAACAGAACCTTGAAGTCCACGTTTCTAACTAGGGCATTTTAAAGCATTACATTATGCATACACTTTTTAATATATGCTGCATATAATATACGGGTTTGAGGTTGGCATGTTCATTGTTTGACCTCTTTATGATTTCCTTCAAGGCTTGAGTCAACATGTTGAGAAAGGAGTGCATGTAAAGCAGGAAGGGCTCAGCTGAAGTGAAGCGTCAGCAGGCTCTAGAGCTGACTGAGAATGACTATTACTTTCTAAAAACTAAATGAGCATGCAATCAGTCTTCTTCTTCACTCTGCTGAAATGAGATGTCAAAGCAAAGAGAAGAGACATGATATGAGTAATGGATTTGGGGGGGGGGGGTGCTTGTATGCCATGTAAAGGGCACTGGGTCAGTTCTGTGATACAGTGTTTTCTAACTAGATTGCTGAGGCACACTGATAATGTTATTTATCAATGTCAGTAAAACAATTTCCTTCACTTTATTCTGATGTTTTACCATGGAAGGCAATCACGTTATATTCTTATATACTATACTTAAGGGAGCCATGGTTTATTGAATTAAGAATTGCTTAGAGGCCTTGTTACGCACGGTTAAGTCTTCCACTAACTAATCAGAATCACCCATATTTTTTCTTTTCTTTAAACATAAAAGTATTTTCAGGAGTACCTGTTCCATAGACTGCTTTTAATCTGTGTATCACTATAAACTCTCTTACCTCTCCTCTGCTGTATAGTGACATGGGACAGTCTGAACATGGTGAGGAACCGCTTCTTATCCTCCAGCTCTGGTGCTCGGTCCATCTCCTCAGGCGTGAAGCGCGTGCTAAGCTGGGGAGGAGGAGGAGGAGTGCGTTTCGAGTGCGAGACAGGTGGCGAGGGGCTGCGCTCCCTGAGCATCCTCCTCCTCTTCCTTCTCTTCTGCTGCACCAGCTCATCTCGCCGGCCCACCGTGGTCAGGCCAAACACTCCCAGGAAGTCCAATTTCTGTGCAGAGAGGCAGAAAAAAAAAATCTTTGTACAATGTTCTGTCATGAGTGCGTGAGTGTGTCTCCATCAAGGAAAGCACGGAAAAGCGTATGTGTTGGCATGTGTTTTACCTCTGTGGAGTCATCCAATTTGAGAGGGGGCTGCTCTGCTACTCTCCTGAGATGAGCTCTCACCTCCTCCTCATCACTCTCATCATATGAGTCATCCAGCTCATAGTAGTAACCTGCAGCAAAAAAAGAGGTCACCACTGAGACCCCACTTTTTAACTCTAAAGCTGACAGTTACATAAAACATATAGTTATAGTTCAAAGCATGTAAGAGTGCATGTGATCAGGTGTATTACAACAATGTGCCTATGGTGAGTACCTTTCTCCTTGGCCTCCCTTCTCCTCTTCTCTTCCAGATCCAGCTTGCTGACGGGCCTTCGATGCTGCTGCAGGAACTCGTCATAGATCAGCATTGTGTCTGGACCCACTGTCAGTGTGGCTACCTGTCCCATCCCTGGCCCAGCAATCATTCCTAGCCCTTGTCCATGTCTACTGTGCCCTGGGTGTCCCTGGAGACTCTTTAGTCCAGCATTGCTTTTCACAACTCCCTCCAGTTCATACTGGCTAGACAGGGATAGTGATGCCCTCTGCTGGCTGAGGAAGGAGTGGGTGGATTTCTCCAGATCAGCAAGGAATGTGCTGGGCTCTGGCAGGCCCGGAGGACCTCTCAGTGGGGGATACTTCTCCATTGCTCCCCCTTCTCTCCGTCGTGGTCCATCCTCATATTTGGAGGGCCCTGGGGGTAGCCGACTGAGCTCGTAGTGTCCCATCCCTGAGGGCTCGTGGTTACGTCTGGACTCTGAGGCTGTATCTATAAGAGATGCAGGGTTCCACAGGGTTGTGGGAGGCGGAGGGTGTTGTTCTCGTGGTGGCTGAGGAGGTTTGGGGGAGATGAGGGGTGGAGGGGCGCCTAAGTGAGGGTGTAGGTCACGGCCTCCTGGTTCATGGTGATTTGGTATGGATCTGTAGAGATACAATGGAACAGGAGTCATGTTTATGTGTTAGAAATACAGTACAATGTCCACATCTCGTGTAAAATTGATTAATAGTGTTTTAAATTCACACATGCAATGCAGAAATGCACCAAAGTGCTTATATGCCTTGCCTATTTCTTTTCATCCCTGTCAGTATGTCGGTGGGTTTGTGTATCTGTGCAAAACAGTGTTATCAACCCCAGACAGAGTAGCCCAGAGCAGAGTGAGGATGTGGCCAAGGCACACAATGTCCTCCAGATATACAGGCCGGGTTTTGATGTCTTAGGTCCTTGTAGTGTGGCATGCATGCACACACGTGGACGGACACACACACTCACACACACAGTGTAAGAGAACAAGTTCAGAGAGCAGTCTACTGAAGGAGAGGCCAGGAGAAATGTTCTCCTGACATACAGGCAGGCAGAGAAGAAAATGACTGACAGAGAGGTAAGGAGAAGGATGGATATTTAGAAGGGGAATCATACTCAATCATGTGAGAGAGAGAGAGAGAGAGAGATGAATAAATATGTAAAAGGAGAACAAGGGTGAAAAGAGAGACTTGGGAATAGGGATATGGTGGTGGAGGAAAAGAAATGGCAACTGTGGGGAAGAAAGAAAGGCAGATGGCTGATGGACACTGTCTGAAGCGTCTTTCCAAATCAAACCTGGCAGGAGCGCACACTGCATGACCAGTCAAATTATCTATGCCTCCTGTTTGTGTTTGCATTTCTGTGTGCGTGTGCGTGAGTAAATGTGTGTGCGTTATCTGCAATCTGCAGCCTGTGAGCTGTGATTCTGCGATTATACCATAGGGTTACTGATAGCAGACGTGTGTTCTCTCCTGTCCCACCAGTTCAGCATTAACCACAACCTCACTTCTGAATTACACACAACACAAACACAGGCACAGTAACAAAGGAGGGTAAGTAGGGGGCTTACGCTGTGCAAGGTTGAGAGGATTAGCAGAGAATTAGCCTTTGTGTGTCTTAGCCATCCCACTTGCTGCCTGTTTGAAACCCCTACACCACTACTCATGAAACAGCAGTCATCAGGACTCGACTTTACACCCTACATCAACACCTAAACATAGATGCCTGTTTGCCTACATGTCGGCCCTGGAAGGAAGCATGGACAGAAATAGAGTAGACATGATGCTTCTGACAGGGTTTATCTTTTTTCTAGTCCTGCCTGAAAACAAACTTCTAAAGCCTGCCAGCTTCTGAGGCTTCAAAACACAGGAACAACTGTCCCTATCAGGCTAGCAGAAGCAGACAGCCAAAAACCCCAAAAATAGTGTTTGCACTGAAAGCAAGCATGGGTTTTGGTGTCACAGAGACCCTAAAACAAAATCAGATAACACTGGCAAAACAGCTATGCATTTGCCAAGTCATGTGGAAATAAATACTGCCTTGGCTTGTGGTTAAAAAATGGGGTTTGGAATTTTGTTGGCTTGACTACATGAATTTAGCCTTGTGAGTGTTGTCTCACCTGTGTGATTCTGCCCTGTGATCTGGTGCGTCACCTGGCCGGCCCAAGTCCAGGTGCTGCTCCAGAACCTGCTGGCGGAATTCAGACACCTGGTACTGACGATCCTCTTTCTCCTGCCGCAGCTTGCGTTGCCGCGCCAACCACCTCTCCTCCTCATTGGTCCTCTGAGCCATCATTGCGGCCGAGAGCCCCGGCCCAACAGCGCCGGGCCCCATGTAGAGGCCGTGGCCTGAGATTATACCAGGGACAGGATGATGTGATTGGACCATTGAAGAGTGGAGTCCTGGCGGGACTGGTTTGGGAGCTGGAGGGGCGGGCTCTTTGGTTTTATCTACCAAAAGAGAAAGGACAGCATAAACATTTGGATATTAGGACCGCAACTAGCTAACAAATAGCTTAAGAAATGCCTTAAATGAATAACAAATTATCTTACATTTTTGCATATAATTGTTTCAGCTGTAGATGATATACAGTGTTTATAGGGACATGTGTTTACAAGCACTATGATTGAGGCTACAGGGGCAGCACAGACACATACCAGCCCGATTAGGGGTGAGTCTCTCAGGCTTGGTTCGGTCCTCCTGCCCCCTCATGGCATGGAATTCGGCCAGATAGTGGCTCTCCATGGCCTTGGATGCCTGCAGCTCCTTCTCTCTCAGTGCTCTCTCCTTCTGCCTCTCCAGCTCCTTCTCTCTTTCTCTCTCCTTCTCCCTCTCTCTCTCACGCTCCCTCTCTCGCTCACGCTCTCTCTCCCTCTCCAGCTCCTTCTCCCGCTCTCTCTCCCGATCTCTCTCCCGCTCTCGCTCTCTCTCCCGCTCCTTCTCTCTCTCCACCTCACGCTCCCTCTCTTTTTCACGCTCACGTTCTCGTTCGCGTTCCCTTTCTCTCTGTCGCAGCTCATCCTCCAGCTGAAGCCTAAAAAGCAAAAGTGGATGGGGAAACAGAAGGAGAGAAGAGATGTCAGTGAAATTAGAAAGGGCAATCCATAATTATGGTAACTGCTAAGGTCTATGCATTATTATTGCACCTATGTGTGAAGTAAGGGAACTTTACCTCTCAGACTGCAATGCTGACAGTGAAGGGTGTGTGAAATCTCCAGGGTAGCGGACCCCTGGTAGGTGCATGTGAACAGCGGAGGGATGGATGGGGGGTAAAGCTCCCCCTGCTGGCAGCGAGTAGAAAGGTGACCTCAAAGCAGAGAGGCAGAATGTGTCATCCATCCTGGGAGATAAGGATTGCAATAAGAAAAAGAAAAAAGAGAAAGAGAAGGAGTCAGTCTCCCCGTGTGACAGTGCAGCCTTCACTTTCATTAACCTGTGTGCCTCCCAAAGAAGCAACATCACAGGGTCTTCCATCTTTCAAGAAAGCAGCAATGTCTGTCAGCTAACCTCAATCACCACACAGCAGCTAGCAAGATACTGTGCTTTGAGTAAATACACAACCGTGTGTTTTTGTGTATGTGTGTGACATCCACTGCTCATCCCCTCATTAAATCCATTACAGCGCAGTGTGTGATGGGTGCTGCAGTCCTCTGATCTTGCTGGGTTGACAGGCCAGGGGCATGCAGGCTGTGTGATAGCCTAAAGCAAACAGGGCCCTTCTCAATACACACACACAGTCCACATGATCGTATGTAGTATACATTTAAAATGAATGTATTTTTTAACAAATATTGCACATAGATTTTCTGCTGCTGGTGTTTTCTTTGTATGATCGCTGAGCTTCCATTCCTATAAAGAACACCAAAGTAAAAAACAAAAAAACTAAAACAAAACTAATTTTCTTTATGAGAGAATGGACAAACCACAGTGTTGAGCAAGATATTTATTATCCCAGATGTAGAGAAAGCTTATCTGGTAATTTCTCAAAAAGCATGTGGACAAAAACAGCTCTTGGCTTAGCTCTCTTATGCATGTTCATAATTTATCCATTAGTATAACCTAGCTTGGGTAAAGAAAAGGAAAATGGGTCTTGCTATTAACTGTCTTGGTTTAGGAAACTTCAAAATGAATACAGCTCCTTCATTAATAGCTCAAATACAGAGTTTTGTTTGTTTCAGACTGCAAAAAATATTAGAGACCCACAGATGTTTTGGAAAACTCTCAAATAAATGTAGTGTTTCTCTTTGTTTTATGAAGGACCGCACTGCAATTCAGAAAGCACTAAAGAACCATTACATCAGCTCTGAAGGTTGTAAATAACATTACTGTAGCCTCTGGCAATAAAATGTGAAGTATATCTATTTTTAAATCAATCTCTTAAAAGCATTTTGACACAGCTGATCAGGACATTTTTAAACAGAGGCTTCTTAGCAGCAGCCTGTCAGATGATGCAATATATAAAGCCTTCATTTAGGACTCAGTGCACCCAATATGATAAACTCTGCTCGTATGTGTTGCAAAGCGGTATCCAAGTGCTCTGTGCAAGAATGTGACACAGCATGTTTTAAGTGATGCTACTTTTGTTTTAACAGACTTCCTTCCTGCCTGCTCATGCGGATACTGTAAGTTTGCCTAATTTGTTTCCGTTATGTTATTATTCTGTTTACCAGAAACCTGATTTTTTTATTTTGTACTGCCCTCTGTCTTAGTCACATCTCTCTCCCTTACACTCAATTAAATCTCTTCCCCCAGTTAAATAAATATACAAATAAAGAACATCAACAAAATATTTTACCTCTGGCAACATGAAATCAAGGTCAGCTATACGCTAATGTGTTTACTGCTGAGTCAAAGCAGTACTGATACTTAGATCAGCCATGCACTGGTTTGCACAATTTGCTCTCAGAGGAAATGGGTGCCAAGTCAACAAAACAAATGAGAGGAGAGGCTTACCTGTATGGCGTGAAGGAAGGGTGGGGCAGGTAGCTGGGGTGGTAGTAGGCAGCTGCAGCAGCTGCAGTGGCAGGGTCCAGGCCCAAGGGCAAAGAGGGCATGCGGAGGGCATCTTCAGTCGTGGCATAGGGCCGGAAACCACGGAGGTACTCTTCTGGTACAGGACCAGGGGCATTAGGCAACTGTCTGGGCAGACTGAGGGTAAGAGAAGTGGTAGAGCACAGTAGAGAAAAGCCAGGGTTAGATTTGTATGTGCTCACTGTTGTGAAATTTGCACAAAATAACCCATTTTCACCCAAAAAACCTCTCAAAAACCACACCAACAAGACAAAAGTCTGTACATTGGTTGTGGCTGCTTATTCCAGTGAGCTCAATAAACCCATGAACTAATAATACATTTTTTATCAAAGTGTGTAGAACCTTCCTTTTAATTGTAAACATGTAAACTCTGCAAATCCAAAGAAATGGGCAGAGCAGTGTGCGACTCACTTGAGGGGCTGGAAACGTGAATCCTGCATGACAGCACCGGGGGTGAGACCAAAGGCATAGGGGTTTCCCAGGAGGTGGGCTGGGACTGAGTGGCCACCCTTTTCCTGGGTGAGTGTCCCCTCTGCACCCAGACGTTCCCTGCTGGCTCCACGAGGCCCCGAGTCAGCCTGGAGAGAGACACAGAAAAAGAGTCTTAGTTATTGTTCGTGAGGACCTGTGACCGTCACGGTTGTCAATGCTCATGGAGCCCATCCCATGAGGGGAGAGACAGGGGGAAGAATAGGCCTGCTTATGGTGCAGCAGCCTCCCTCACTGTCTCTTCCTACCTCAGGCACTTTTATCTACTTTTTCACACAAACCACCTCCCTGTAAAAATAGACATATCAACATTTCCTGAGGAGAGTATATGTTAAGATGAAGGAAGCAAGCGCGGAGTGGTAAAACACGGCCTCACTGTTTTTCTCTAATTGTAAACAAGAGATGTCATCCTTATGATCGATGAGGATGTGGTAATGGTACAACAGCAGTGCTTCTGGAGAGATGATGACTTTGATCTTGGCAAAGTGTATGTGTGTGCGTGCACATAACTTACACACTTTAACATCTACAGGGAAGACAACAAAGTCCAAAAAGCAGCATCCTTCTGCCTCTATTTCTCTTTCTTTCTTCCTTCTTCTCTTTCACCTCCCTTTCTCCCTTTGGCAGCAAGCCTGGTCTCACTTATCCAATCCCACAACAAACACACATACGCACTCAGCAGGCACATACACTGTTTCAGAGCTACAAAGACATCCTGCTGTGGGAGTGGGAGTGCATTTTCTGAAGCTTTGGTTTCCCTCTGCCTACAATTGCTATCGCAGAACAGAGAAACTTACAACCCTTGTAAGTTGTACAAGGAAATTGTTTATGGAGAGTATACAGTCGACGAGGATTTTCACAGGTATGGTGGAACAGTTATCTCCCGCAAAATGAGACTTCAAGTTAAAGTTGGCAGGGGAACAGCTAGAAAGAATGGAAAGAGGGTAGAAAAGAAATATAGAGATGAAGACATAAAGAAGAGGAGTGAGAGGAGAAGGCAGTTCTTGCCACACTAAATTAACCTCTTGGCTCCCTGGGATTAGAGAGAGACCTTACAGCAGCACTGTTTTCTCTCTCACTACTGCCTCTGATAAAATAAATCCAATTTAGGGAGCCATTACCTCCACGTCCTTTTCTGCAGCCACTGACCCAGGCTGACACTGATGTGCTAACATCCAATCTTAAATGCCTCTAATGTTTATACTCCCCACATCCCCCTCTGTTTCTTAGACGCCCCCACTTTCTAGTAGTTTAATGTTACCGTTTGCTCATTGTTGTTTGTTGTGCTTCACTAAACAGTAAGGCACTCTAGTCAAACCTCCCGTCCCTGTAAACCCCACTTCCATCCTTTTCTCAGCTTTACGAGCACAGGGAGAAGATGGACGTTCCCTCCCAATCAGCAGCCAACTGGAAAAGAGGTTCATATATGTCAAAAGAATTTAATATCAGATAGTGGCTTGGGAGCCACAAGATCCCAGGCTCTCGGTTTGCTCTTTGCTCCTTCTTTTTTCTTTATCTGCCTCGTTGTCCTTCACTAGAAATAGCTGTCTGGAAGTCTTAGTAAAAGCCCTGATGACATTTGTGGAAGACACACATTCATTCAAATGTCTTGTTAACCCCCATGAACTTGCAGAAATCATGCACACATGTACTGTGTGCATTTCCCCAGCCCCTCCTGAGCATCCTAAAGATGTACTGCTGCAGGTACATAGTACTGGCGAGAAATGCCTCTCCAGTAATATGACTGTAAAAACAGGAGCCGTTTTCTATCACACTGTCTGTCAGTTAATCAATTGTTATTATCACACTGATAAAAGATTTGCTAACCAAGTCAACGGTGTTTAGCAAATCTGTCATCGTTGCCTGACTAAAATCACTGATTATGCAGGTTGATTTATTTATGTTATTCGTGAGAAGCAGGTGGCACCTTGATATACCATGTCCAAATAGCGCTTTTGCCTCAGTCTGTGCCTCAACTTACACATGGTCAAGATTCAGCTCGGTAAGTGATAAAATAAGAAAATGAATGCTATAGTCAGGCCTCAGTGCTCAAAGACTCCCCTGACCACTCTTGATGACATATCAACACGACAATACCCTGCTTAAATAACAAATAAAATCATGCAAGATCAGAATAAGCTTTATTGACCAAGTATGTGTATACATAGAAGGAATCTGACTAAACTTTTTGCTGCTGTCAATGTTATGCATAGTTACAAGAACAATTTCGGGGAGAAAGACAGATATCCAGCTTAAAAAGAATGACAACAAAAGATCTGTTATAATTTAATTATTATATTTAATTATTTAAAAAGGCCCAGTGTGTAGGATTTAGTGGCATCTAAAGGTGAAGTTGCAAATTCCAACCAACTAAAACCCCTTGACTGCGTGTAGCAGTGGCTGCGAAAAACGGGAATGGCCCTATATAGAGCTAGTGTTTGGTTTGTCTGTTCAGGGCTATTGTAGAAACATGGTGGTCCAACATGGCAATTTCCATAGAAGAGGACCTGCTCCCTCTGTAGAACAGCTCATTCTAAGGTAATGAAAATACAGCAATTTATATTTCCAGGTGATTATACACTAATGAAAACCTATGAATATTCTATTCTATGCTGCCCAACAGATCTTCCTAAATGTTACAAGCATGACCTTTAAGTGTTCAAATGTAGGTTCGATCTGTGTTCAATATCCTGCATCATAAACACAGATTTGGTATGTGATGGTGGTATGGTTTTTATGATTGTGGCTATGAGTCAATAACTGTACATTTTGCAATTTCCAGACACTGATTACAACTAAAATCTAAACTGCTCCTTTCCAACAAATTTCACAGACATCCCATTATAAAGAGGATGGAACAAAAATGCCTGTAAAACAACAAAGCATGTTTGTGCAGCAATTTTGCAACTGACTGGCTTCTACTTTCTGCTTTTACTTAATACTGTCTCTGAAAACCAGCAAGTCCCTCGTACATGTGAGATGATAAAAAAGGAATGTGTATACCTGTTTGTAAATGACAATGTCTACATATCACTGTCATGCTGTATGCGCATTGTTTTTGCCTGTGGCTTAGTCTCGCATGTGTGGATGCATGCACGCCTGTAAAAAAAAATACATGCAAAAAGGTGTAGGTGTAACAGGTCAGCACTTTAAAAAAAAAGCATACACACCACAAAGACAGAAACTTCCATCTCCATTAGAGAGGCACCTCAGTCACTCAGGCACCTAAACATCCAACCAGCCATCCCACTTTGACCTTTCACCCCGCCAAAAAACACCCTTCTATTCTCAAATACACTCTATTCCCCAGCAGCATGCCATACACAGTACAGAGCACAAATACAGACACTCAGACTCAAAGACACATCCATTAACAGCCATCTTCCTCTGTGTGAGCCAGGCCCCTGTAACCCCCAGCGAGGGTGGGAGACCCCGCGCATTGTAGAGCGCTCGTTTACGCCTCTCAGATGGAGCCATGAATCCAAATTGCCAATTAAAAAGCAATTACAGGCAGCAGCGGGAGCAGACTCCTGCAGTCATTAAAGCAAAATGCCAACGCACCAAGCCCTCCCTGCTTTGCTGCTGCCCCCCCCCCCCTAAAGACAGACTCATATCTCAGCCAGAGAGACACTAATCAACCCCTCTAACACACAGAAAGCAGGACACACATGTACATGTACACATAGCAACAAACAAGCTTTTCTTGGACGCTTTACAGGGGATATAGAGAACAGACTCCTGCCTCTGTATTTAACCATTTTCTCCGTATGTATCCTCTCTGTATCAGACTTTCCTTTTGTCTTTAAATTGTGATTTCTGGCTGTTTGTGTCACCTCATCGTTGTTCCCAACACTTTCTTTCAACCCAGTGCCAAGGGTTAGTTTTTTTTTTTTCCTGATGAGCGATCAGCATGCTAAGATCCAGACAGTATCATCTTTGTTTAAGAGGGACATTTTGATGGCGCCTATGTATGTGTGTCCTTTACAGCCCCGTGGCTCTTTGTGACCACACAGTTATATGTGCTCGCTGAAGCAGCACTGTGCTATGCTATGACGCCAGCTATAGTGACGCATCCTTGCTGCTGTCCCCCCACACTTTACCCCCACACTTTACCCCCTCATCTCAACCTCTCCCTTGTCCACATCACCTCCCTTAACCTCCTCATTCTTTGGCTGGGTGACCCCGAGCTGCTGAAGGCACCACGGACCCCATGACATGACCTTTTCAATTCGAGCTTGACCTCTTACACACACAACCGCTGCGCATAAGCACACAAACGCATACACAGGATTAACCATAATATATGGCTGTGTGGACAGGAGTAGAGGGTGAGGTTCTGTCCCTTTATTTCTTCTTCCACTCTTTCAAACTTGCCATGCTGAAGGAATGGCAAAAAGGGTGACATCATTGGGAGAGCTCCCTGTCTCCCCGGCCCCTCCCAGCTCTGGTTGACCCTTCAACTGAGGAAGGGTCATTTTGTTAAAGCTATAGTTACAGAGGGTGAGGGTCAGGGGGGTAGTCCAGGGGAGAGGACAATGGCCTGAATGCTACCACACACTGCTGGCTGGCTGGCTGACCTCCTTACTCACCCTTCGCTATCCCCCTTCTCTCTGTCTCAAGGGAACCGTCAAAGTGTCTCGGAGAGTTTCCGCATGTTGCCGAGTGCTGTTCATAACCGTGTGCTTGGCCTCGACTATTAGCCTTGAGCTGAGATAAGAAGGCTTAAAGCAAGGCCATAATCCATAATCCACTCCTTATCAAAGCAAGCAGCTCTCCCTCTCTCTCTCCCACCACGTAAAAGAGAGCGGGTGTCCGGGGTGACAAGGCGGAGGATGCACTTGACTGCTTGAGTGAAGAGGGCGAGGCTTGGGG